AGAGAGAGAGAGAGAGAGAATGAATATGAACGAATGAATACTGCCAGGTTGATGGTTCAGTTGTGCAATCCCAGAACTCAGAATGCTTTCAGGCAGGAGAATCAGGAGTTTAAGACAAACCTGATCTATATAGAAAGACTCTGAAAAACCAAAAAAAAAAAGACAACCCCCGCCACAACGAAACCAAGAAAACCCCCAAGTCAACAAGATAACATGTTCTACAAAGGATGACTATGAATCTACTTAGACAGAAGCTGCTTATCCAGGGAACTGTGTCTCCCAATATATGTGGATGCTTGAATACTAAATATACTAGGTTTTTTAATATATAGACATACCTATGATAAAAGTTTGATTACAAATGAGGTGTACTAAGAGATTAGCAATCAATAATAAAATAGAACAATTATAACCATATACTGTAACAAGTTATATAATGTAGCATCTTGCTCTCTCTCAAAATATCTTGTACTTTACCTTTTTACTTAAAGGATGCAATAGCTCCCCTAAGATTTATCTGAACTATCAGAATTACTACTCTTGTATCTTGGGGCCATTACGAAGTAAAATAGGAGTTAGCTGAACACTGTGATACCTCTACAGTCAAACAGTAATCAAGAGGCTAAGTGCCTAACATACCTTGGCTATGCTGGACAGGTTCAGAATCTAGGCGGGGTTACATGCACAGCTCGAAATCCTACCACGCTACTCAGAACACACAATTTGAAGCTTATGAACTGTTTATTTCTGGAACTTTTCTTTTTGGAACTTTTCATTCAATATTTTTAGATTGTGTTGACTGTAGGTAACTAAAATCATAAAAAGTGAAATTGGAAAGACTGTATTTGGGATGATGAAGCAGCTGTGTGAATGGACAGTGATGATATTTGCACAACATTGTGAATATAATTAGTGCCACTCAATTGTGCTCTGAAAAATAGTTAAAAATGAGACCAGTGAGAAGCCAGTTGTGGTGGAGCATGCCTTTAGTTCCAGCACTTGGGAGGCAGAGGCAGGCATATGACTGAGATCGAGGCCTGCCTGGTCTACATAGTGAGTGCCAGGCCAGTTCTGGGGCTACAGGGAGACTGTGTCTCAAAAATACCATGGTGCACGCCTGTAATCCCAGCACTCGGGAGGCAGAGGCAGGCAGAACTCTGTGAGTTCAAGGCCAGCCTGGTCTACATAGTTCCAGGACAGCTGGGGCTACAGGGAGACCTTGTCTCAAAAAGACCAAAAACAAAACAAAAACAAAACAAAACAAAAAAAAAACCCCAAACAAAAATGAGACCAGTGAGAAGGCTCAGCCAGTAAAGGTGTTTGCCTTTACCTAATGATCTGACTTGGATCCTAGGATATGCATAGGAAGAGAGAACTGAAAGTTGTCCTCTGACTTCTACCCACAAGTGCAGGAGTGTCAATTATAGTATCATCCAAAGAGGAACTTAAAAGTAGAGAGAGGGGGGCTGGAGAGATGGCTCAGCGGTTAAGAGCACTGACTGCTCTTGCAGAGGACCTGGGTTCGATTTCCAGCACCCACATGGTGGCTATGAACTGTCCTTAACTCCAGTTCCAGGGGAATCCGAAGCCCTCTTCTGATCTCCGCGGCACTGCACGACACAGGTGCACTCACATACATGCAGGCAATACACTCATACACATAGAATTAAAAAAGAAAAAAAAAAGTAGAGAAAGGGTGCTGAGATTTAGTTCAGTGACAGAGTACTTGCCTAGCAAGCACAAGACTCTGGGTTTGGTCCTCAGTTCTTTGGAAAAACAGAGATAGAGAAAACATTGTATAATGATACAAGCATTACTTAAAGATTTCTTTTTTATGTATGTGAGTTTTTTGCCTATATGTATGTATATGTACCATATGTGTGCCTAGTACCTACAGAGGTCAGAAGAGGGTGTCGAATCTCCTGGAACTGGAGTTACAGATGGTTGTGAGCTACTATATGAATGCAGGGAACCAAACCCAGGTCCTCTGCAAGAGCTTCAAGTGCTCTTAACCACTGAGCCATCTCTCTAGCCCTTGATATCAGCATTTAGAAAATATGTCAGGAGCCAGCAAGGTGGCTCAACGTGAGTAAGGGCACTGGCCTCAAAGCCTGAAGGTCTGAGTCTCATCCCTTGGATTCACGTGAACAAAAGAGAAAATGACCCCTGCAAGTTGTCCTCTGACTCAACGCAAGTGCCACAGCATACAACACTACACAGACACACACACAGACACACACACACACACACAAGATAAAATTTTTGAAAATTAGGTGATATGTCAGTCTATATGCATACACACACAGAGTAAAAAAAAATTACAAGTGTTAAGAACCTGACAGAAACACACTAGAATACTTTAACATATTTTTGTATCAGTTAAGATATGTATTAAAAAAAGATATGTATTCAGATGAAAACAGCATTAAATTCAATACATAACAAGAATATTGGTACCTGTTCAGAGACTCACCAGGATCTTTTTCTCTCTTCTCTGCCAACTTAGTAAGCAAACCTCTTATTTTGATGACTGTTTGGGGACGGGGGGAACAGTGTCATGCTCGTTAATTCATCTGGAAAGGAAAAACCTTCCCATAAGCCTCCTAATAGACCTACTTTTTATAACTGTCACACATTCACCCAGTAGCAAGAAACGCCGAAGAACTGAACAGTAAGTTGGAAAGAAAAGATACATACACAAAAGAACTGAGAGAGGGCACTGGCTGAACAGTGTCTATTACAAAATCTCTCCACATCCAAATATCTGGTGAACAAAATAAAAGGACACGGAAGAATTTAGAAAATCAGTTGGGGCTGGAGAGATGGCTCAGTGGTAAAGAGTGCTTACTGCTCTTGACCCATCTGCAGTCGAATCTCTACAACTAAGGCTCATGGAACTTAGCGGAATAAGGGTTAGAGAGAGG